CCCCAAAACCCCAAAACCCCAAAACCCCACTCTATTTAATTTTGCACTATAAAGAGAAAGTAAAATTATAAAATTCAAAATGAGTTAAAGTAATGGGAATAAAAGTAATCCTGAGAGGGTAACATAACAGTCACAGCTCAATCAGAATTCCTCTACTTAATATAATCACTTACCATCGAGTCAGTCTAATTTGCAGTAGCTTTAGAGTCTTAATAATCAGGAGATGGATGATGCCAAAACTGAAATATATCTAGAAGATCTGCAGCATTTAGTAGATGATGCAAAAAGAATGATGAATGACCCTAGCATGAAACAACAAATCATGGAGATGAATCTCAAGCTGAGAGAAGATCTCACAAAAGCATTTGAATGCTATATTTAGCTTCTGACCAAATGTGATAAGCTTTAAAGAGATAAAATCTAGTAAGTCATTACTTCGAAAAACTTGCTTTATTACTAATCCCATGTCTTTCTATTCTCAGCAAATAATCAGAATATTCTTATCTTTTATATATAGATTAAATTATGAGATAGCGAAGATGAAGGAAACTGGCTAAAGTAAAATAGATTCTTTGGAAAAGAGGATAAAACTCTTAGAACGAACCATTGAGGAAAGAGATAGATCTCATTAATCAATTATTGAGACTTACGAGGCTAGAATTGCAAAGTTTAGAGCAGATCTTGAGCATGAAAAGAATGAGAAATTAATCATTTTGAGAGATTTCAATTCTTTAAAGACCAAGTACTATGAGGAGATAAAGAGTTCACCTGAGAGTCAATTTCAAGATATTTTGAAAGATAAGTCTTTGCTGCTAATTAAACTTGATAAAATGGGGGCTGAGCTAGATAGTTACAAGCTCAGACTAATTGAAAATGAGATTAAGGCTAAGAGAGAAACGCTCGAACGAATGGAAATATCGAATGCTAGAAGAATCAAAACTAAGTATAGAAGGATGAAATTTATAGGTGAGCCAAAAAGCTTTTAAGAAATCTTAAATCTAATGTCAAGTTTGGAGGGTTATCCATTAAAATCTAAAGAAAGATTAGCAGCTCTGGAAGAATTCTGTATCTATGCAAACTCAAATGAAGAGAACTTAGAGAAACTTCGAACATTGAATGGTGCAAGACACGCTGCAAAGTCATTAGCTTCAACAGATGCTTCAATTGTTGTAAGGGCACTTGTATTCGGTGCTATGCTAACTAAATCCAACCCTAAAGTGTGCGAGACGTTCATTGAACAAGGAGCAATTAATTATATTATTGAGTATCTGAACTCATCCAACGAAAACTTCAGAGTAGAATCACTTTATGTGCTTTAATAGATAAGTGAGTTCTAAGTATCATAACAGATCTTTAGTAAATTTAATGTGCTATCAAGAGTGATCATTTTGCTTGAAGAGGGTCTATAGATGAAGAGTGACGTGGGTTTTGAACAAGCTGTCAGTTCAATCAAGATCATCAAAAATTTCGTATTTATCAGTCCACCTGAAAAATCAACCTAGGAGTTACATAATCAGGGAGGGATTCAAAGTCTTTGCAAATGCTTCTTTTCTCAGGAAAAAATAATAAGAAAAACTGCTATAGAAATACTTGCTTAGCTCAAACTTACTGATGAGGCAACCATAGAGATAGCCAACTTAGGAATGATTAGTCTTACTTTGAAATTGATGCAACAGCAAGATTACTCTACATAATTAAATGCAACAAAACTCTTTAGGAATATCACTTAGAGACATACTGTGCTAATAGATATCATTCAAAATGAAAGTTTATCCAATCTAGTAGGTTAGTAAATTTCAACTTATATCTCATTTTCAATATTAGATGGAGTAAAATAGCAAAGCACAAAGGATGTTAAGTTGATTTATCTGGAATCCATCTACAATTTATCCTTAATTAATGAATGTATTCCAGAGTTATGCAGGCATGGCTTGATTAATAATCTTTCAAACTTCTTCTCACTGGCTGGTGACAAAGATATAGTCAGGATAAGTGCCTAGGTAATGGATCAGATTGTAAGATTAATATCTCTGTCTCATTTAAATATAAAATAGTGCAGAAATGGAATTTTGATAGATCTCGTTTACAAAGTAATCAGATTTAACGACTTAGTGGCAAGTATGAATTTATACAAAGATCTCTAGACTTCATAATACTGCTTTCATATTGCAAAGACATTTTCTAAGTATTAAAGAATGTCGACTGAACTTATGAAACGCAAAAAGGATATCATTGACTATATTATGGACTGTCTGAGAGATTAGGAGCTCCCTGTAACAGAGAAGCGTTATTCTCTATAGTTAGTGCCATTTCTAGCTGTTGATCCAGAAGCACTTGAATTGTTTAATAGAGCTAGACTTGAAGACTGTCTGATTGATCTGTTGAAAGATCCAAAGAGTAATGATAAAATTATCAGATAGGTCTTGAAATCTTTGATAATGATGCATGCATCAACGATATCAATGGATTAAGACAGTCAAATAGGGAAGATATTCATTGATAAAGATGGGCTAAAACTCTTGCTGAATCTTTTAGATGCACGCATTGCAGATGATAATATCAACTGGAAAATAATGTAAAGCTTGGTATAAGCATTATTTGTTCTGTGTTTCAAAGAAAAAAATCTAAAAAATTTAAAGTCTGAAAATATACTAAGAAGACTTGTTGATCTATTGGTCAAAGCAATGGAATAAAAGATGTTTGAAGTGCTCATCTCTATTTTGAAACTTTTCACATTCTTTACAGACGACTAGACTACTTGGAGTCAGATAATATGTAGAGAAGTCGTAAGAGGATGTCTACTTTCACTGTAAACTAAAGAAAAAATTGATAAGAAATTTATCATTGCACTTATCTATGGTATGCTTATCATAAATTGATAGATATAGATATTTCTACAAGTCCAATTACTATAAAAATTATTAAAGAAATCCCTTGGCCTGAAGGTATAGGAAGGCTAATTAATACTTCATTTACTGATGAACCCGTTGCAGTTTCTTTGATACTGGGGAATTTCAACAGGGTAACACTTTATTCTTAAAGTATTATAGGATGTAGTAATTAGGAATCAGATTATTACTATGATGTAAAGAGAGTAGATAGCAGAGATTCTTGTAAGAATTCTTAAGTTTTTATATAAAATTTATAGACTGCGAAATAAGAGAAAAACGATTGGTTTGATATATAGATCCCAGCACATATGAAGCGAGCAAGTCAAGGCAATTTTGGAATTAGACAAGATGACTTGCCTCCAACTCCTGGACCATTAAGACCAGGAACTCTATAAAAGGTAGTGCAATAAAATCTAGCGAATTTGGGATTAGATAGAAACAGACAGAAGCTAGATTTTATAGAAAGACCTTAGTCATAGGTAACTATGAGATCTGGAAATACATTAAATAAGCCATTTGGTGGTCCAACTGCATATTCAGGTGGGATTATTGGAAATTACGATCCAATCAGCAAAGATGTAGTCCCATTGATGAATAAGAATGAAAGAGAAAAGAATATCCAGATAGGTCTGACAGCCCATAATCTACAACTATTGAATCAACCTAAGCCTGTTGCTGAGTAAGGAAAGACCAGATAAAATTTTGTTTAAAATTTCCTCAGCCAAATGGAAAATACAGTAATCATTATCATCATAAATTTCAATATCTTATAGGATCGGCAAAAAGCTCAAAATAGAATGAGAGCAGTTAGCAATATGAGGGGAGCAGGTCTGAATAATATTGATGCAAATTTGGATTTAGTACCATTTGACAGTGTTAGTAATCCAAATCGATCTGTCAGACATGAATCCGTGGGAAGACCTGCGATATTAAACAAGAAATTACTCAATGGTGGTGGTCTTAGACCTGAAATGGATTCATTCTATCAAGATCGTGACGATATTAAATAAAGATAATTATAGTCACTGGGTAGATAATAGATTAAGTTGTGAAATAACAAGGAGCTAAGAGACCTATCCACTTTGAAAATATACAGTATAAGTTTGAGTTTAGAACTATTAGAATCTAATTTAAGTGTATAAATAATTATAATCAAAGTCACTACTACAAGAAGTAAAGCTATTATCATCACCAGAGAAAGAACAGTTTTTAGAGACATTCAAGCTCAAGAAACAAAGATTCAAGGAGGTAACTCGTACCCTTGGCGAGTAAACCGTACAGAGAGGAGTTTCTAGAAGTTTAAGTTTTAGCCTCCTCACAACCAGTCCTTTATAGAAAAGAAAATTTAAAAAGAGAACCATAATTTAAGGCCTCTGATTAATACTTATCAACTTCTTTAGCCAACAATCATCCTCAAAGGCTTGGGGATAAAGACATGTAAGAGGACTTAGTGGAATAAGGATACAAGGATCAACATTTTCGACCTGTTAGTCAATGCGAAGATAAGAGTAACAGAGTAGCGTACAGTGAGAAGAAATAAAAGAAAAGAATAAGAAGGAGAGGGCGCCACGGAACTATTTGAAAGTGTAACAGAATGCCAATTAAGACCTACGAAGAAATGTCCTGGAATGATGACCAGCAATTCTCAGTCAATCTACAAGATAGATTCTGCTATGAATCTAAAGATTCTTTAAGAGATTTGCAGTTCAGAGTAAGATCAATATTATTAATATTAATTATAGGATCGAGCTAAATTAATGCCAAATAGTATCCAAAATAAGTTAATCAGAGATGCTAAGACTAAAGCACCCTCGAGGTTCATATTTGCTACTTACTGCCCAGGATCACCAGAGAACACCAGCCAATTCCTAATGAAGGACTATAACGAGAGAGCATATGCATATCAAAAGCAGTACTGCAATATAATGCATGAGAATTTGATTGATGATTTAGGAGAAGAATACTATAGCAGCACTACCGGAGCACTCAACAAAATGGGAGTAAGAGGTGGAATGACAAGTGCATTGAGATAAAGATAGAATACAATGTTAGATAAGAGCGAAGATAATAAATAAGATGAATTAGATGCAATCAGTTGCTGTAATATTCAAAATAACCATCAATATTTATTAGGCTCCTCTCTATCAAATGCAGCCTTATCAACTTGTTCTGCAAACTATTCATTAAAATCTAATATAGTAAGCTCTAATCTTGAGTAAATTGGAGCTTCAATGGAAGGTAATTTAATTAACATGATCAACTATGTATAGGGTATGTGAACTTCGATATGTTTGATGATTTTTCATTGTCTGACAATGATTTCAAAGAGCCTTCTTGCTCGTATTCATCAAGCGGTAACTAAGATGAGAGTGGTTGCTTAGCTCTCTAGGTGATTAAAAATCCTATTGAGTTGTAACCTACTCTCTAATTTAAAAAGCAATAATCTTATTAGTTACCTTCTTCACTTTTTGATGCAGATTCTATTCCAATTTCACTTCAAATAGGTAACAACCGAACTGATGACTCATTTGAGGCTGAGGAACAACTTAATCAAAAAGTTTATTTTGAAGACTACCAACTTTCATAGTAATTAGAATCAGGAAGACTTATGTTAGATGAATTGTAAAATGAACTAATCTTGAAAAAACTCATAATTCAGTAAATAGAAAAAGCACAAGAAAATCATGGTCAGATACAGCATCACTGTCAAGCTGAGCCAGAAGTGGAAGTACAGAGTCAATTGAGCAAGAAGAACTAGCTACTGATTAGTGAATAGATTTGAGCTGCCAATTTAAAGTCTGCAACACCTACACTTGCATGAGATCAATGAAGACAATTTGATGATAATCATACGATATGTCTCTAAATATGAAACTTGAACGTTACTTTTAGATAACATTTGCTTTCTTTAAGTGCTGATGGTTTTATCCTCAAGACAACTACTTAGAAATTCATCAATTCGCATGACCTTCATTGAGAGGATGACTTTATTGGCGCAGCTTACTGCTATAGATATCGTGCGGCAGGCACTATAATAGGATGAATCTCTGACAATCTGAACCCTTTTCAAGTCTGAAATTTCGAGTTATATAATGGTGGGGACTATTACTCTTATTAGAAGACTTGTTCTGGGAATGCTTATAAACTTGCGCTTTGTAAGGGACTTTATATTGGAAGCCTATAAAGACACTCTTGCCAAAGACAAGTTTATACTTTTATCCTTGATTGGACTAGAGGCACCTATTCAAAGCTTTTGAAATCTCACTGTTTATTGAGACGTAGATTGCTACCTGCTTCCCTATCTATATTAAATTTATTTTAAAAGCAAGTTGCTGTCAATTAATAAAAATTAATTTAAGCTTTTTTATGTAGCCAATGGGGTTTTGGGGTTTTGGGG